GCAGCAGAAGCCATCCTGCTTATTTTACACCCCCAAAACAACAGCCGAGCTCTCCTTTATTATTTCTATCCTAAAGCTGTCCTTTATTATTTCACGTATTACATTTCTTTTGAGAGCTTACGAGACCTGGCTGGAGAAGAAGCAAACAGCAGAGCCCCAGAGGGCCCCGAACTCAGCCCGTGTCCCCCCAGGTGTTCATCTCGTGCTCCTCGGACGCCTCCATCCGCGTGTGGGACGTGCGGGCGCCGCCGGGCCGCGCCTGCCAGCTCGCCGTGGCCTCGGCGCACGACGGCGACGTCAACGTGCTCAGCTGGAGCCGCAGGGACGCGGCCGCGCTGCTCAGCGGCGGCGACGACGGCGCCCTGCGCCTCTGGGACCTGAGGAGCGTGCGGGTGAGCCCCCGGGACCCCCGGGAATGTCACAAACCTAACCCAGGGACCCCCGGGTCAGCCCCCGGGACCCCCGGGAACGTCACAAACCCACCCCAGGGACCCCCGGGAACGTCACAGACCACCCCAGGGACCCCCGGGAACGTCACAAACCTAACCCAGGGACCCCCGGGAACGTCACAGACCAACCCAGGGACCCCCGGGAACGTCACAAACCTAACCCAGGGACCCCCGGGAATGTCACAGACCAACCCAGGGACCCCCGGGAACGTCACAAACCTAACCCAGGGACCCCCGGGAATGTCACAGACCAACCCCGGGACCCCCGGGAGTGTCACAGACCAACCCCAGCCCCCTCCCCGCTCACCCCCTCCCCGTTTCCCCCCAGAGCAGCCCCTCGAGCGTGGCCACCTTCAAGCAGCACCGCGGGCCCATCACCTCGGTGCAGTGGCACCCGGGCGAGAGCGGCGTGCTGGCGGCGGCGGGCGAGGACGACCTGGTGACCCAGTGGGACCTGGGCGTGGAGAGAGACCCCCAGGACGCGGGGCAGGGGGCCGGGGAGGGCGAGGGGCTCTCGGAGCTGCCCCCCCAGCTGCTGTTCCTGCACCAGGGCGAGAGGGAGGTGAAGGAGCTGCACTGGCACCCGCAGTGCCCGGGGCTGCTGCTGTGCACCGGGCGCGAGGGCATCGCCGCCTTCCGCACCATCAGCGTCTGAATTGGGGTGAAAACATCAAAAATCGGGGTGAAATCACCTGAATTTGGGTCAGGAGTGCTCAAATTGGGGTGGGAACTGCAGGAATTGGGGAGGGAACCCCCCAGGGAAGGGATGGCACCTGCAGTGCCCGGGGCTGCTGCGAGGGCATCGCTGCCTTCCGCACCATCAGCGTGTGAGAGCAAAAATTGGAGTGAAATCACCCAAAACTGGGGTGAAATCACCTGAAATTGGGGTGAAATCACCTGGAATTGGGGTGAAATCACCTGGAATTGGGTCAGGAGTGCTCAAATTGGGGTGGGAACTGCAGGAATTGGGGTAGGAATGGCACCCACAGTGCCCGGGGCTGCTGCGAGGGCATCGCCGCCTTCCGCACCATCAGCGTGTGAGAGCAAAAATTGGAGTGAAATCACCCAAAACTGGGGTGAAATCACCTGAAATTGGGGTGAAATCACCTGGAATTGGGGTGAAATCACCTGGAATTGGGTCAGGAGTGCTCAAATTGGGGTGGGAACTGCAGGAATTGGGGTAGGAATGGCACCCGCAGTGCCCGGGGCTGCTGCGAGGGCATCGCCGCATTCCGCACCATCAGCGTGTGAGAGCAAAAATTGGAGTGAAATCACCCAAAACTGGGGTGAAAACACCTGGAATTGGGGTGAAAACAGACAAAATTGGGGTGAAATCACCCAGAATTGGGGTGAAAACAGACAAAATTGGGGTGAAATCACCCAGAATTGGGGTGAAAACAGACAAAATTGGGGTGAAATCACCCAGAATTGGGGTGAAAACAGACAAAATTGGGGTGAAATCACCCAGAATTGGGGTGAAAACAGACAAAACTGGGGTGAAATCACCCAAAATTTGTGTCAGGACTGCTCAAATTGGAGGTGGAAATGGGATCCCAAAATGGGGCAGGAATCCCTTGGAAACTCCAGCGGCAGCCGCGGCTTGGCGGGTCTGCAGCGGCCCCGGCGCGGGGGGGTCCCGACCAGCGCCCCCCACACGCGGTGCCGCTCCCGCAGCGCCAGCGCCGCCCGCGGGGCCCACACCAGGAAGCGCCCGCGCTGCCGCCGCACCCGGGGCCGCTCCGTGAGGGAGCCCGGGGGGGTCCCGGGGGTCTCTGAGCCTTCCCCGTCCTCGCAGACCCCCGGGACCCCCTCAGGCCCCGCCGCCATTTTGTTCCCGCCTTCCCGGAAAGGCGCCGCGCTCTCCCGGAAGTGGCCTTGTGAGTCCCGGCGGTTTTAAAGCGGCGATGCAACATGGGCCTCACCAATTCCCGTCAAAAGCTATGGGAGGGATTCAGCCCCTTTTAAGAGCGGCTTAAAGGGACAGAGCCCCTTTAAATGCCGCCATTGTGGGCTCCACAAGCCTTAAAGGGCCAGACCTCCTTTAAAACCTCCTGAGTCCGGTGGGTTTCGTCCCCTTAAAGGGCCAGACCTCCTTTGAAACACCCTTTCAGTGGCCAAACCACCGTTAAAGCGCATTTCACACCGTCTTACTCCCGTCCCAAAAGGCCCTGAGCCCACTCTGAGGACCCTTCAGGCTCCTTAAAGGGCCAGACCCCTTTAAAAACCTCCCCTCTCCGGTGGTTCCCACCCCCTCTTAAAGGGCCAGACACCTCTTCACACGCCCCTCCCCCTCTCTTAAAGGGCCAGATCCTCCTAAAGGACCCACCCAGTTGGCTCCGCCCCCTTTAAACCTCAAACCCCACCCCCAGAATCCATACATGGGGCGCTCCCCAATATTAACATGGCCCCGCCCATTAGGGGCGGGGGTTTGAAATAACCACGCCTATAAATGAGAGCGTGTTGTGGGCGTGGCTTACAGCGTGGGTTGCGGTTTGTGGGCGTGGTTTCCGCAGACCACGCCCCCTCCGCCCCCGCTCCGAGCCCGGGAGCCGCGCAGGGGCCTCGGGGGGGCCCGGGGGGGTTTTTGGGGGGTCCCGGGGGGTTTTGGGGGTCCCCTGAGGGTCCCGAGCGGGTCCCGGCGCCGCCATGAGCCGTGAGGAGCTGACCTACCTGGCCGTGCTGCTGGGCTCCATCCCCGTGGGCTTCGTGCTCAAGGAGCGCGGTGAGGGCCGGACCTCGGCGGGTCCTGAGGGGGTTTGGGGGGGGCT